CCTACTTCTGACTATGACCAGAGGATCTGGAGAGTTTTTTCCTTTAAAGTGGGTGAGAAGAAACTACGGACGAGATCACTTAGATCATTTAGAATGACCTTTTTTTTGTGTGTGTGTGTGTGTGTGTGTGTATGTGTGTATGTGTGTGTGTATGTGTGTGTGTGTGTGTGTGTGTGTGTGTATGTGTGTGTGTGTGTGTGTGTGTGTGTGTATGTGTGTGTGTGTGTGTGTGTGTGTGTGTGTAAAAGACAACTGCTTGCTACTTGTAACTAGCTAGCATATAGCTAGCATTTAGCTTGAAAGGCAAAAGTTTATTTCCTATTATTTGAATGCTTTTGGACCGAGCCTTCAACATATGTATGATGGAAGACCGATTGAGTGAGGGGGAGAACTCTGAGACGTTAAGCTTGGGTTCTGGGCAGCTTCCACCTGCTGCCTGAATCTAGAGGGCTGAACCCCCTTTTATATCTGTGGTGACACAGGACTGAGGAACAGGCAGGAGATGGGGTGGTGATGGTGGGAATTGCGAAAACTTCGTCTTGGGAAACAGAAGATAGAGATGAGAATTTATAGGACGTTAGATTGGAAGGAGGAGGGATTTCAGACATGGCCTTCCCCCCAAATTCTAGCTATTCCATTAATCCATTTATTGAACACATGACATACCAGGGCAGTAGCTATAAAAGGGCGGTAACAGTAGAGCAGTAGCATCAATAGTCATCCCCTTAACCACTCATTCAGATTGACTGAAACAGTGAAGGCCACTGAAAAAAGGGAAAGAAAAAGGAAAGAAACAGGAGAAGAGTGTCCAGAGGCCACAGAAGCTCATCCTGCTCTCCCTGAAAGTGCGTCATAATGATGTATGTGTGTGTAAGTGTTAGCTTTTTTTCCCCCACAATTCCCTGCAGCACGACACAAACACTGGCATGGGAAGGAAGTTGAAGTGAAGACACCAATAGTCAACACACACACACACATACACACATACACACACACACACACACACACACACCCCTGCTTGTTCAAAAGCTCTTATCACAGCCAGGCAGCCCCCCTAATGGCGTTCTTACTGAGTAAATGTCATTACACACACACACACACACACACACACACACACACACACACACTCACACACACACACACACACACCCTCGTGCTTGCTTCATATTACTAATCACTGCCAGAAGATGAAGCACTTCCACCAGCCATGTGACAGAGAATGGTTGAAAGCCCATGACACAGCGCTTACGCCCAAAAAATATAGCGCTAAAAGTACTAGCTAGCATCATGAACCACCTCCCGTAATGATTTCATTACGTCCATAACAGGCCTCATTTCGCCTCGCCGTCATTTCACTCACCCTCTTTTCAAAAAAAGAATAATAGACTGATCTCTTTCGCTGATGCAGGACATCCAAACGGCCAGACTAATCAGCGTACGCAGCTAATAGAGGAGAATGGAAATAGAAGAAAGACAAAAAACATCAATGCATGGACTGCGGAACATGTTTCTGATGGGCGGGGCCGGACACCACCAGCTAAACTCAATAAGCCGTTTTAATCGGTTCTATAATAAAGAAGCAGAGGTCAAGTCATTTTTCTTTATTACAGGACGACCCTGTAGGCCTGTAAGTTATGCTAAGCATCTCTACTTGTCAATGCTTTTACAGTGTCCTAAGTCCTGAGTGTTAAAGGGGAATTCATTAGTTTTTCAGGGTTTCTGCATAATTAAATGGTTAGGATGTAAACAAAGAGTGTTTTGATCTGAAATGCTTAGTTCTAGAGAATTTTACAGAGTCAGAGTTGTTCACAGTGGTGGAACTAAACATCTGAAGCATTTATCACCTCTATAGTATAATAGTACAATATATTACACTGTGTAGTGCAATAGTGGCGTATATTAATGTGCATATTGTGTATATTTGTATACATTTAGAGTCTAATGTGGACGTATATTTTTTCTTTCTTATTTTTTTATATTAAAGTTCTACAAGGGGGGTACACAGCTATGATTTTCACTCACTTTCGCACCTGTGTAAATGTGACGTGACAATAAAGGTGATTTGATTTGAATTGATTTGATTAAAAACTACCTCACAGATTTGTGGTAACAATACATGCTTAGAGACAACTTGTTAAAGCCAAACTAGCCAAGCTATCATCAGCTAACAGAACTGTTTTCCCTTATAATAAGTCATGTTTATTTTTACTGCATGTTTGCACACACAACACTCATCTACATGCCTTATTGGAGTTTATTTGGAGTAAATTTGGTAACACTTTCTATGAATGTCGCATTTGTAAGCATCTATAAACACATTTACAACGTTATAATGTATTCATAAGGCATTATAAACGTGGTTATAAATATTTATAAAAATTACACTGAATTACACTTTATAGCCATGTTTATTATACATTATGAATTGTTAATATAATGCATTATAAATAGTGTTAATAACATGTTATACTGTCAGTGCCAATGAAGTCAGTCCCAGCTTGGAGAGCGTAAAGTAAAGACAAATACCAAGCTAACGGTGGTGAACATTACCTTTCCCACATTGGGTAAAACACTGATGGCAGCTCTAGTTTAAACGCTGACATTTGAAGCCTGTAATGTGCTTTACTGTGAATGTTTTAGTGTTTCAGTAAATCCTTCAGTAAATACTTCAACTTGAAGCCTCACTCTTAACACTGGAGGAGGCTTTAGTACAGTACGCTTCACTTTACTTAGAGCGGACAAATACCACTTATGAGCTCTTATAACTTGTTATGATCAGTACTTATAATGTATTATGTTAACAATTCATAATGCATAATAAACATGGCTATAACGTATAATGCATTCTTATAAATATTTATAGCCATGTTAATAATGTCTTATGAATGCATTATAACACGTTATGAATGTGTTTATAGATGCTTACAAAGGTGACATTCATAGAAAGTGTTACCGTAAATTTTTATAGCCATGCTCACAACATGGCTGATGGCTTGTTGTCCATCAAACAATGTTGACGGGCACACCATCGCCCACTACTTTGAGCTCCACCTTCACAAGGCAATGGACTTGTTTAGAAACCTCTTGCACAGATTGATCCTGAGCCTAAATATTCTTATGGTTGTCTCTAGACATTCCCAATATGAAATCATGTCTAGCCCAGCCAGACCACCTCGCAGAAAGCTATCACATAAATTGGTTACAAAAACACGTCCCGATGCCTGATATGTTCTGAATGTTTTGGCCCGAAAGAAAACACTTTCCAGATTATATATATATCCATATAAAAACTCGAAAATGTGTAGCTTCACTGGTTGTTTTGCATAGTAAATAAAATGGCTATATTTGCATAAACATCATGACGGCTGGTTCCTGTCACCACCACTGTAAAGAAATCCGAGTTGGTAAGTTTCTCTACAACTAAACATTTCACATCAAAACACCCTGAATGACTCTGTTTACTTCACAACTGAAGCATGTAGGAATTCCCTTTTAACTGGTTTGGTATGAGGTACAAACTTTAAAGTACACTCTTAAAAAAGATGGTTCTCCAAAGGTTTAGTAAAGCCAAACATTCTATATAGAACCATGAACACTGTGAGAACTATTTGCATGCTTAAAGAGTTCTTTGCATGATGAAATGGTTCTACAGATTGATGGAGAGTGAGTTGTCTTTGAAATGGGTTCTATATAGCACCAAAAAGAGTTTTTCTGTTCTTACGAGCTTGACATTGTAACAATAGCAGAACCCTTTTTTTGGTGCTATTCAAAAAGGTTCTATATAGTACCATATATCGCACATTCTCCATCAGTCGGAAATGTTTGTTGTTTGTTGTTTGAGTGCTCACGGTTCAGTATGGAACCATTGTCTTTACTAAAGAACCCTTGAAGAACCATCTTTTTTTTTAAGAGTTTACTGAGTTGTCATTTTGGGTAACATAATGGTGAATTACACTGAAAGGCCAAACAGATCTGTGCATTAACTGGGTAAGTAAGTGGTGCGATTTTCAAAGTCTTGGGCCAAAATCATAGTAAGTAACAGGTGTAGCTGATCACCAGTACATGTTGTGTTTTGGATGCTGGTATGCTTGTCAATGCACATGATCATGCGGGATGACCAGCATAAACCAGCTCCTCTTTTTAGCCGGGCAGAAGATCTAACTAAATTGTACTAAAATTCCAAACAGGTTCTAGCTTTTATGCAGATATTTAAGTAAATTGGGAAATTCTTCCGTATCAGGTAGTTATGTGGCGGTTCTTTGCTCAGTATCATGTAAAAAAAATATTTTTAGGCCCCTAAAGAACATTCTAATGGACAGTTCTTTGCAAAAATAGTTTTTGCAAATTATATGTATGAATATGAAGAACCTCCACATAATGTAAAGAAAATTTAATTGACATAAAATCTTTATGTCAAGGTTCTTAGAACCTATAAAAGGTATATCCCTATTATTAAACATCACTCTTCAGGGGTTCTTTGAGTGACGCCATAAAAAAACCCTTTGTTTTAGCTTTTTTAAAAGACTGTTTTCCTCACCATTTTTGTTTACTTTTACCAAATTTTCTCTCCATTTTAGTCACAGCCAATTCCAACCACTAGCTAGTTCCCATTCTTTCACGACATTAGCCAGCTGGAAGGGTGAAGGCTAACACATGCCTCCTCTGAGGCTTATTAAGTCAGTCACCACATCATTTCTAACTGTCACTAAAGCAACATGCTTGGAGGAGAACACTGAGTATGAATACAGTGATGTTAGCTAACAGACACCCATGTTGGCCACCAACTGGGTGATAAACAGGGCCTGTTTATGTTGAGCATCTCTTTATTCATTAAACAGAACAGATAGGATAATTAATTCATGCTAATAATATATGTGGAATAGATATGGATTTTATAAAATGCCAAAAGTTCTTTGGCCCATTATTAACAAAAAATAAATCAAAAATATTCCGCAGTCCATGAATCAGCGCAGAGCTTTAAGTACTAGATATGTACTTACACATGACTGTGAGAAAGACATTCCCTGATGCCAACACCACCTTCTCCCGGGTGGCCCGGTCGTAGATGCCCACGTGGCACTCATAAGGCCCATTATCTGAGATCCGCACCTCAGGGAGCCTAGAAACACAGAAGCAATCAGGAGAGAAATCAAACACCCTTCAGCCTTCTTCAGCACTAATGCTTCAGTCTTTGATCTGCTAATATCCATTCTTAATTGGTCAGAGTCTGAGTATTGATCAGTCTGAGCCCAGCTGCAACAAGAAACCTTCACCTCCTGTGATACTGTATCTCAAAAGACAATGGTCATAAACAATGTGACGGCTATATTCTTTATTTACATGACAACTTGACTCAGTTGAAGATAAAAACCTGGTTTCTGATTTCTCCGGGTCCAGCGAGGATTTCTCAATTCAATTCTATTTTATTTGTGTGGCACATTCTGCAACAGACATTGTCCCAGAGCAGCTGTTCAGAATATATGACTTGTTCTGTGCTCACTGAACCACTGAAATGTATACTTGGGAAAGTCCATAGTGCATTTCTGAAATATCTCACCAGATGAACTGTGGTTGATGGAAATAACCCGACTGGGCAAGCATGGGTGCTTTGTGTGCTAATATGAACATTTCCCATAAAAATTGGACAATAACGCTGCAATAACACTATATTTCAGTTCAGTTCTGTTTTATGGGTGTGGAGTTTTCTACTACAGTCATTTCCCAAAGCAGCTTTCCGGAAATGAAGGTACAGCCTCCCTAATGAGCACAACCGAGGGAGACAGAAGCTCCTTAAGGAGGAAGAACCAAGACTCAAAATGGGACTCCTCAGGGCCGCACCTGATAGTATCCAAGGATCCAAGTAGGACAAGTTTACAAGGATGGTTAAACACAGGCACTGGGATCTTACAGAGGAAAATTGGGAAATAAACCAATGACAGATGGGAAAGTCTGTCAAACATCTGGAGGAGTAACTGAAGGAGGAACTGAGTGTGACACATACAGGATAGCAGATAAAGAACGCGGTGGATTCATACTGGAGCATGGAAGGTATAATAACATGGTGGGACACTTCTATATATATCTTCTATATATAAATGATGGTAGACTCAGGATGGTATATCATCACTGTTGGAACAAAAACTTCATATTTCAGAAATGGTAAGTTTAGAGGAAAAGGAAAAAAAAAAAAGATTTCTTCCAAGTAATTTGAACCATTTCTATGGGCCTATTCATCATAGAATTTAACACAAAACAAAAGGTAAAAAAAAGTAAAAACATGACAAAAAACAGAAATAATAAAATGGGGAATTGATATAATACATAATCGATATAACCCATAACACATAAACACAACCTCTGCAGCCAACTATTTAAAATAAAAAGAAATGATTTATACAAACGTTAAAGCACAGTTACTTCGTATTTGATTAACTTACATCCGCGAAAATGCTATTTGTAGCCACCTAGGAGTCTTTCTAGTTATAGCGGAATGATGCGCCACCACATATGTATCAACTAAGCCTTCCTGCTGGTTCTTTGCTGTCATAGGGGGGTTTTACTTTGCATTTCTGGCCAGCAAATGAGCCGTTCTATCTGAGGTTTTCCTCTGTCTTCCAGATCTTGTCTAGAAGGGTGTCTGACATTTGCACATGCCACAGCTACCGTTCTAATTTACTTTTCTTCCAACCGTTGAAGTTGATCAAATATAAAGTATGTATGATCATTTGCAGAACAAAAATGTTTATTTATTAAAATAGTTTGCTGTAGAGATTGAAGGAGGACCACAGGATAGCACAGGAAATAGTGGACACATCCAAGATGGCAGATATAGAAGATGCCGGACTCATCCAGCATGGTAGATACAGATGATGGTGGACATGTACAGAAGATGGTATATGATGGACTCATACAGGATGGTAGATACAGATGATGGTGAACACACGTTTTTGTCAATATCTGCAAAATGATCACTAATTAAGTGCCAATAATTAGCAGTTTTTTTGGTTTTAGCATTACCAGGATTCCAACTTGCGTTCTCCCGATTATAGGGCAGATTAGGGCAATTTTGACAAACATTTGCCACTGTGGAGCCCCGAAATGCTCCCTATTTAAAATATGACAGCAACCCTAGCTGAACTGGTGAATTTGAACAATAAACAGCATCATGGTTAATAATTACTAGAGATAATTATAATGCATTATACCATTTTTTCTTTTATGATACCAACACTGATACTGGCTGGCACAGATACTAAGCTACTAAGCTGTAAAATAAGCTATATTTAATGGAAGCACTTTATTTAAGATGAACATCTGAAAATAACCAGTCATCCTCAAATTTCAGGCTGGATTAGGTTCATTCGATTTTCCCTCCAATGTCCGATCCAGCATTTTCTGCTGATATCGACTTGATACCAGTAGACTGCTTCGGATAAGTGCTGGATTAGTTAGCCACCTAAAATTAGTATCGGTCCCAAAATTTTCATATCAGTCAGGGTCCAGAATAAAGGCAGTATTATAACTTCCAGACACAAGTGAAACAGGTTGAAGCTCACACAGGGGTTGCCAGAGAACTGGCTCATTACAAATCATGACAGAAGTTGGAGAGGGATGTGACAGTTGCTCATTATGAAAACATCTGGACACAACACAGCCATCTCCGAATGCCCTGATGCCCCTGCTGTACCCCGTACATTCCTGTCCAGCACTGAGACTTCAGCCACATTTCAAAGGCCCATCTCTGAAGTCCACTTACGACATGCGTGATTTTATATAATTCACTTTTACTTGGTTATTTCCCAACTTCACTTTATCTTTCTGGATTGAACAGGGTGTTATTATTACTGTGATATATTTAAGTGACCTCTGCTCTGAATGGCTGACCCCTTCACTTGTAGGCACACTACATTCAAAAAGCCAGTGTTAAGTACAGACATAAAGGGCTCACGAACACTGGGAAAGATGAAAGCCAGCCACTCCTTTCTGTTTGGAAGGCCATAATGATCTGTTTGCTTCCTGACAGCCAGAAACAGCACAACATTTAACTTTTAAATCTTGCGTTCTGACGTTATGGGCACGCTTGTCCTGAAACCATCACAGTGTATCCAGCAAAAAAGGCAGCATGGAGCTTCTTTTACACAGTGAAAGGAAATACAGTAGCACACTGAAAGCTCCAGTTCCACATGCTGTTCCTTCTTACTATGACAAACATGGACATGCTGGGAGCAGGTCTTAGTGTGTTATACTGGGCAGCGTAACTGCTGTAGGCTGAGCGGATGGTGCCATGTAAATGTGTTCATGGTTGTGACATCATGCATTCATAACACTCTGTTTTTGCAGCTTAGTTTGCTTATATAGAACGTATATGGATTATTCTCCATTTGCAGTGCGAAACCATGTCACAAAGGCTGCAGGGCTTAAAAAGATGCTTAAAATTTGAGTCACAGCTCCAAAAGTCAGTATGTACATTTACACAGTTCACCTTAGATGAAATAACTCTTTTCCCTTATGATTTCTCTGATTTTTTTCTTTTTTAATAATCCTTTTTCATAGTCACTTTGCATCTGTAAAAAGAGATCATCACAAAAACAATTTCAACATTTGAGAACCGTTTTTTATATAAATCTACATTTTTAAGAGGTTTAACTGAGGAATTTGTATAAAACAGAATCATGTTATCTTTTTATGTCATTAACTTTATACTACATTTAAAAAATATGTATTTTATTCAAAAATCCATTTGTCACAGAGATTTTGTTCACTGGTGTTATCAGAACTCTTATTCTACATTTTAACACAGTATTTTCAGCTCTGTTAAACTGCGTCTTTGGGTCGAGGCTCATCAGAGAGGCAGCAGCTCAAGGCATTAGAAGGCGAGTCACACTCGCTCACTTTATTTCATTAATTCATTAATAATTTTGTTTATCAGGCAGCTCATAACTTCTATGTGTCACCAGTGTTATGTGCTTTAATGGCTGGGTAATTAAAATTTTGTCAAAATAATAAATATAATTTTTTTACTGATTTTAAATAGTTCACAAGGTCACCTGACAACCAATGAGTCAGCCAGTTTACAAAATCCTCAGTTTTAACCAGAATGTCAGTGGAGTCACCGTCACTGGTGTTACACCATATTCATACAACACCAGTGACTGTAAAATATGTTTGGAATTCAGCTCTCCTTTCTGCATATATGATAATAGGAGATGTTAATGGACATATTAAGATTATTTAGTTTTGGAATAAAAAGAAAGATTTTTAAAAATGTATCCACCTGAATTCCCACTCCACATGTTTGTGAATGGTATGGTTTTGAAATTTGCTACTGCAGAAGGTTAAAATTCACAGTTATTTATTTTTGCACCATCCAGTTCCACTTATAGACAGTTTCCTTTTATTACCTATTTGTTATTTTTTATTTTTTAATTTGCTTTTTTGCTCTGATGTGCCAGGCTTTAAGCATCTCTATCCTACTTTACCGCAAATGACTGTAGACTGACATTATTTCCTGTTGTTTTCATTCATTTTTCTAAAATAATTGTGTTTATTCTTCCTTTTTGAAAAATGTCTGATGAACACCTATAAACGACTAGGTGGCTTGTACAGTCATCATGGTACTGACTTTGCTAGCCAAGGCAGACTTTGTGGTGGGAATGCACAGAATGGTTCAGGACAGTGGGAAAGGGTAACCCTGGGAACCAGTGGGATAAAGCTGCACGCCAGCAAAAACGAAAAATGCATCTGTTTGCCTGTTGTGTAAACATGCATATTTGCCTACTGCAGTGTCACAATATTATTTAAAGCAGTGTTTTTTCAGTTTAAAGACAAGATCTTCTGGTGACGTATCATGAAGGTGGGAGGAATAACTGCATCTTCTTTTGGGGATAAAACACATTTTTCCCACAAGCTGACAAATCCAGATCAGCTAATGTTGAATATTAGCCTCTTCATCAGTGACTACGACTATTAGGATTTCTTCATCACCATCACAGGATTCCCAATGTCTGCATGATGTATTTGCGTAATGCATGCTGGGTACTACAGTGAGATAACGTTGAAGAAAATGAGGCAACACTTCATTTGGATAGTCCACAACATGATAAACAACATATTAAAAGC